TGTTCGCATCTCGTTGAGTCAAATCACTCGGTGGATGTGGCAAGCTCGTTCCGACCGATTTACAAGGTTCGATGCAGGCAATCAAGAGCACTGAAGCATCGTATCTTAGCCGAAGCCGTAAGTATTCGGATTCACAACCCTTGTGTGCCCCGAGGAAATTTGTGCAAGCACTTAATTTCCCCTGGCCCACTTCAGCCACTCCAACACGTGTGCAATCAAGTGAACTTTTGACACTGTGATCAATTTCACACAAACGCACGCACGCATGATTGGAGCAACAGCTGAATCATTAGAACTCGAATCTCTCATTTCGTGTTTTGTTCTTATTTTTAGTCATATACAATGTTATGTAATGGCATGATTACGAATAACTTGAAACGAGCTTGTTTGCCACGCTGCTGTTCTCAATGTGTTCTGTGGGGCTAATGAAACAATTGAAACAATCCAAAGACCATCCGCACTCCGTGAACTTAACAGTTACGTTAAGTTCCGTACGAACTTGGCTATGGCAAATGCTCTTATTCAGTTTCTCGATGAGCGTATATCAAACTCCGAATATACTAAACAATACCGAACTGTGGTATGAGGTGATTGTGTCAAAATCACTAATGTATCTCTGCGTCGCCAAGCACTTTACGAACCAGATACCTTATCAAGCCGTTTACCCGAGATGGAGCGAAATTCTGTGAAATCTAATCGTGTTCTGGATGAGTTAACCATGAAGGAAAAAGAGGAAGCAATTCGAGCGGATATGTACGACATTACGAAAATATATCAATCCTAGTAAACCGTTTGGTGAGTTCCATTCATATCCGAAAAGATTTGCTCATAATTTATCGTCTGTGAATTTGGATAAGACCTTGCTGAAAGTGCTATCTGTGGGGTCGAAATTCAGTTGTTCAACCAGTAAGATTAAGCAGTTAAATTTGGAGGTCGAATTCGAGAATTTAATCGATCAGCTATCTGGTCTGGCGCTGTCTTTTTCACAGGAATTAGAGAAACACAAATCCTTAATTCCGAGATCCATGGCAGTTCAGGAAACAGAAAATTTGTGACATTTTTTACCTCTCTATGAATCATCAATCGACCCCATAGTTCAAAAAACCTTATGGATTAAAAAGAAACAACCGCTTGGAAGTATTCCCTATAATAAAACGTTACCTTTTAGACAGACCCTAATCATCAAAGAATTGTCGACATTTCGTATGATGAGAGGCTTATTTTACCGCTACAGTATAGCCCTAATGTCACTTTCAACTTGTCTTCTCTCCAACTGTTTCTGACTGATAAACCCAAGTAAAGTTTGATTTGGTCTATAAATCTGCTTTTATGCAAAACCAAAGTTGATTGATTCATGCGTTCTCCCGGGGGTAGCATTTTTTTTCCAATTACAGCAGGTGTATCGCTCGAATTGGGAATAACCATGACTTTCTTGTTGCTGAGTTTTGAAACTAAGCTTCATGATAAAATTAAGTTTGTATTTTTCCATCTTTTTGAATTCTCTCTCTCCTTATTGTTGTAAAACTTTGCTACCGTTGAAAAATTTACCTATCGTGTTTATGAAGATCACTATGATTCGACTCGCATATTTTGAGCGTTTTTTGCTTTCAAAATGCAATGCCGTTTTGGGGTCTGTTTCGTGCATAGCATCAGAACCTCACATGCATCCATACACATGAGTCATTTTTAACTTGATGGTTATGTAATCAGTTTGATTGATTGATTGATTGATTGATTGATGAATAAATGTACAAGTGGCTAATATTCACTAGTTCACCAAGCAAACATCTCCCGGTTTGCAAGTGGTTCACGTTTCACGTACTTTGTATGACTCCTTACAGTTGTTGGGTCACCACGGAATCACGCCATTGATACCACGTGACTAAAATTTGACTATCTTTACCACGTTACTCGGTTCATCAACTACATACAATAAATATTTGCTTGGATATTCATTATTGTACCGGTTATATGCTGCAGTATCATGTTTAAGTGGAGTACACGAACCGTGACGAAACACACGTGTCAACTTATTACCAGTCTTGTGTTCATCCTTGCAGTGTTTGTGAGCCGCGTGTGCCATTTGGTTTCTAATGTCTAGCATGAATTCCATGGACCAGCAACTTTGATGCATTTATTCAACTTTTGTGTGTTTTCAATTGCAGACAGATGACAGGCCATCAAACGAATATCTGGTGATGAAAAAAGATCCTGTTTGGAGAAATGGAACTGTTTTGTTTTCTTAACAGGATGGAATCCGTGCCATCCGATTTCCATTGGTTATCCCTCTCGCTCTGCGTGTGTGTGTTGATTACGGGATTATGAACTGACTACTTATCCCTTGTTGAAAAATAGGCACTTTAATACACGCCAGTGTCTATTTTACGGCGAAGCACGACATAAACTACGGTTACCGAAACTCGACTGACAACTGACATTGTGTATTCGGAATTGCGCTTACCCGGCATGGCTCTGCTCAGACGCAACCCAACTACGACGGGTGGTGGTGTGTTACTCTACTTTAGCAGAAAACTACAATGCGAGGTAATTGATTATCCTGTTGCGCCTCCGGATTCACTGTGGTGCAAAGTGGGACTGTCGCAACGCGATATCCGCTTGATCGGTGTGGTGCACCGCTCTCTTTCATCCACAGACTAATCCAGTGAGACACTATTGCAAACCACGTATCATATTCTGTCACTGACGCTCACGTATGCCCTCATTATGAGCGACTTCAATTATCCAAACCTGGCTACATCAGCGACCTCTTTACAACCGTTTGAGAGAAAACTCGCTCAGTTAATTGAATCCTGTACAATTTACAATTTTGTGAAGGAGCCAACGAGGTTTGGAGCCAGTCAATCATCCTCGGTTTTGAACTAGGTGTTAGCCAACGAGCAATTGACGGTGGAAACGATTTCCACTTCCACTGCATTAGGGCATAGTGATCACGCTGTATTGACCTTTGACTACTTCTCATATACAACTGTACCGTATATTTACACATGTTTGTTGACTACACAGAAATTAGGATTTTGGTGAGGAACTTTCAATGGAACTTTCTCAATGAACAGTGGGATCTCTGGTTGAAAACCAGTGATTCGAAGTTGAACAGTTGCAGGCGGTATATCGTATGGAAGGCTTGTAAACGATTTCCTTTAAACAACACACGGTATACCTACTGTCTAGTTTGAAACCACTGCACCAAATTCGTGC